TGCTACCTGGCTCCTAAGTACCAATGTGAGAGTGGCAATACAAATAGAGTCAGCAATCAAAATAATGCATTAATCATATAACTACAAATGGGTTAAATTAAACATTGAAAGCTTAGGCATCTCCAAATCTTAAGCGTTTTGAGAATAGGATGTTTGTAAAATGCCACAACAGCAGCATACACCTAAATGATACAGAATCATTTTAAAATGACAAATACATGTCTAAACCCACGTTTGATCATAAACAGGGTTGAGGGTCTTCTTCACTGTGCTGGTCTTCCTTCTCCCTGTCCGGCTCTTGTCAGGCAGCAAATAGAGGCGGATGAAGGGATCTGAGCCATCTTTGGAGAAGGCTATCAAGTTACTAAGGACACACAGGACAACACTGTATGACTCACAGGTTGCCAGTCACATGTTGTTTGTTGACCCTTCATTCTTACAGTAAATGATTAGAATAGCTCCACAGGAGGTAAGACAATCTGCACACTAAGGAATCACTGAACCCACAATCACTGGTAGTTTGGAGCTCACCGGCAGGCGTGCACCACAACAATAAGTTTGTTCCTCTGGGAGCTGTGTCGCACAGTTAGCTGGACCTCACCCAGGGGGTACTGGCTTGGGGCCGATCCACTACAAACACACCAGAGTCAGTGTGAGTCACGTCCAGACAATGCAGCTGAATTTAACACATGCACACACCAGTGTATGCAGGGGTAGATGATTAGCTTGACAGGTAGTCAGATCATTTAAACAGTAATGCATATTAAAGGAGACAGCACTCAGAGAGTGCAAACCTCCACCAATGCCATTACATGTAAAAGCAATATTCCCATGATAGCTTGACCCGTGTAATATGATTCCTTGACCATGAAAACCCACCCCCAGCATTTGGAAAAGCATTGATACCATTATTAGTTTGAAAGTTATTCAAGAAAAACTATAGTTCACTAATGGCAGTTTTCTTCAGGATGTAGATCAGTAACCATTACATGTAAAAGCAATATTCCCATGATAGCTTGACCCGTGTAATATGATTCCTTGACCATGAAAACCCACCCCCAGCATTTGGAAAAGCATTGATACCATTATTAGTTTGAAAGTTATTCAAGAAAAACTATAGTTCACTAATGGCAGTTTTCTTCAGGATGTAGATCAGTAACTTTTGAAGATAAATCTGTTGACACCTCACTGTAAGCAGAGATTCAGATAGAATTTGATCTTAGTTACAAGTCTGTAACATTATTTACTGTGAGTAGAGTAGCGAGTTTTCCATGAGCTCATTAAATTTTAACATTCTGGATCAGCAGGTCCCAAATATTACTTGGATCCAGATCAGACATTGGTGTGTGGTGGATCTTATGTAGATGTTATCTTGCAATTTCTGTCCAAGAAGAGTAGGCATTGTGTATGGACCCTATTTCACAATGGTGAACAATCCTTAAAAAAATTCCTGGATCCAGACAATGATATGGATCAGCACCAACACGTTATGGATTGTTCAGTGGTTCAAACCCTACCTCTCCAAAAAAAACTTTTTCAAAATCAAGTCATTACTTTTTAAGTTATGTGAACAAACACTAGTAAAAGCATTACCTCTGGCCTTCGCAGAGGTATAATTCAGGATGGCGCTCTATCAAAGGCAAGTTCAGAAGTTAAATGAATTAAAAAAGAACAACAACAACACACAATAAGATCCCAGAAACCAGAGGCAATCAAAAGCCAGAAAAGATATTAGGAAATAAAGAGAAATGCATCAGCAGAGACAAGAACCGAAGTTTGAAAACAGTTTTAAAAATTATATCTGCCATTTACTTCTGCAGCTGACGGAGCCTTTGCTGAAGCTCCAAAGTGGCGAAGGGCAGGGAGACATCTGAGGCCAGGCTGGGTGTGGACTCCCTATGAGGCAGGTGTTTCTGGGAACTAGACATGCACGTGCTCAGGTTGGAGGTACTGTGCAGAGGGCTGCCTGAATATGGCTCGCCGTCCCTGTCAAGGATAAGGGTGGAAGAGTCTATGGGTGGTGAAGGTGTGGGTGGAGGTAGCGGGGAATCCGAGGGTGACAGTCTCTGGGAGTGGGCTGCGCTTGGCGTCGGGACCCTGGCCTTTCTGACTCGCACAGAGGAGGGCTGGTCTGAGGATACCTGCTTCTCCAAGGACAGTATCTACAGCATGACATGACAGGAGGATATTACCATTAAATTATTTTAAAACATTAAATGATAACAAGAATTTAATCCAAGTTGTACAGTGTAGTTCCACAGGAAGCAGCAGTCAATCAACAGTGTCAGAATCAGGTCAAATGTCCACATGTGAAAAAATTGGCAGCCATGCACAAAATATTGATTCTTGGTTACTCACCCTCGAAGTTAAACAAAAAAAAAAAATTATGAATCAGTTTCAGTTTAGTGTTGACATTACATTAGTTCAGACGCACTGTGCTGCCCAGTATGCAGCCTTTCACTATTTTAAACCAGTGGATCTTGAACATCTGCCCTGGTTTCCTTATCCTGAAATACATCACCAATGCATACAATAGAGGACCAGTAAGAACTGATGCAGTCCATTTTTACCCTCAGGGCCATCTTAAGCTTGATGGTGGAGCTCGGCCCAGAGTTCTTGAGAGAAAAGCACTGAGTCAGCGTCATGTCTTCCTCAGTCAACAGGCTGCTTAAAGGCACTGCCAGATTACCCAGGATGCATTTGTGCTTGTCATCTTTTACCTGCGCACAAAGAAAAGGGATCTGCTTTAAGAGAACGCCACCTTTTCTGCCATTTGGAGCCTGATGTTATAAAGAAAATACAGGGTGTCGTGTTGATGAGAGGCATTACCTCCACCTCGAGTTCCTGCCTCCTGGGATTGTGAACAAGAAACGAGAAACAGTCTTCCCACAGAGGCTCCTTAGTCTTGTAGCGGATCTTTAGGGGTAGACAGGGAGTTGTTTGAAATGGATTAAAGGGCATTTGAAAGCAGCTAATTAAAAACAGCTTATTGGCAAGTGATGACCCCCAACTGAGACCAGCCAAGGTCCAATGTTAGCTAAAGAAAGCACTATGTGAGTTTCATGTTTACACAAAATAAACATTTTGATTAATGTAGAAGATACACAAGGGGTCTAAAACCTCCCTGAAGCCATTATATGCTTGCATTAAAACCTCAGCATCAGCAATAACTTGGTTCACTTGCTGTATTTTATCTTTTTAGAACTCATACAGAAAGTTTTCATAAACTGTTGGCACTTTCATAGCAGTCTAGAAGTGCCTTTGCTGACACCTTAAATAACAATTTTCAGTTCATCTCTGTGTATTGCTTCCACAGTCAGAGAGAAGTACTGCATAATAAAAAGGTCCAGGGACAGATAAACAATAAACTGTTGATTATTTGTCTTCAGTACGTCACTGTATGTCATTATATAAGATACCATCCTGCTAAAAAAGTAAGAAATAATGATGCCTTCAGTGTTTGGTTGTTGCTTTTAAAACTTAAAATAGGAATATTGGGGGAAAATCACCTTAAATCACAAAGCAATAGGTGATTTAAGGAGTACAAAACAGTCTGTGACTCACCTTACTATCAAGGGTTTTGTGTCCAACAGTGAACTGAACATAAGGGTTGGGTTCAGAGCTGCTCTTCTTTGCAGACTAGTGGAGAATCAGAGAGAGGGGCGTTAGCTGCTTCTGCTCACTGTGGCACACAGTGCAAAATAGTTAGTAACAGACAACATAATTACAACCAAACGTTAACTTTTTGAGGCTCAGCATCAAGAACACAATAGTGAAATAGCCCATAGTTCAAAAGGGAAGGAACATTACTATCCACTGTGACAAGCAGGGCTGCAGGCAGAGATGCTACCAGGGAGACTGCCAAGCCTTGTCTCCTCTGCTGTCTAATTCTGGCATGCTGGGTCTTGACAGCTAAGTATTATTCAGTATTCCTTAGAGAACAATAATATCCTACATGTCTACAGACCAGATGCTGTGACAATGAGGGGAGGTCTTATGCTGTCCTTGAGGATGGTGTTTAAATTGGACATGCGTTTCTCACTAGCATTAGAATTAAGCTCCACTTTCTACATGCAGGCTGATTAACACAAAACCCTTGAACTGACAAGGCACTTAGCACAAACAGGCTTAAAACGGCATAGTTTTCACATTATTAATATATCAATCCTTTTCTTTATACTATATAATTCTACTGCTACATCTGTCTGCTGTGTATAAATGACACGCCCATTGTTCTTCATATTGTAAGACCCTGTGAGAAAGATCTGTTTTTCTTGTCTATAACCTGCAATGAAAATTATCTTGACAGATGTACAACTGTGGTGAGAGAGAAACGGTATTTTGATTTTCGGCATGTCCTGCAGATATAGTGAATTGACAATAAAAAATCTTTGATCTTGATCTAAATTCAAGACAATTCAATTTTATTTAGCACCAAATCACAACAGAAATCATCTCTGGGTACTTTACATAGTAAAGTCTAGACCTTAGTTATACAATTATTATTATCATTATAGAGATAAACCCAACAAATCCCCCTTGAGGAAGCATTAGGTGACAGTGGGGAGGAAACACTTCCTCAGACAGACCCCCGCTCTTGGTGGGTGGCCTTCTGCCTCGAAATTAGACACAGGAGGGTTTTGTGCCATATTGTGCTATTTGATTGAAATTGCATACAGTTTATCATATTTTCAGTGGTAAAATCATTGTTGTTTCATTTTATGCAGATGTATGCGAAAGTTCAGCAAGAAACTGTTTTCTGCGACTGACAGAGTATGCAGGCTAGAAGTCACATCTAGTAGAAGATGAAGATAGACAGCAACCCCAGAACGGGACTTTAAATCGATCAATGTGGTGACAAAAGTCCAAAGATTTTTGGCATCCGCTGCTCCTCTCACATCCAGATTTGGCTCTTTTCAGTCAGTACAGTCAGACACCGTGATATATTCGCCACATGTTTTGTTTTTTGTCTTTATTGAGGTGGTGAAGGTACTGTATGACGTGTACTGAAGCTCACACTGGCGTACACTTCAGTGTGTGCACATTCTCAAAGTTAGAGGCATAGCTACATCCAGAAAATGTGTCCTCTAAATTTCAATTTTGATTTCAAGACATCAGTACAGAGAAATGATGTCCAAGTCAAGTTTATATTCATTATTGAGGAAATGTATCAAATTGAGGTGAAAGCCCAACCAGGTAGTGGCTGCACTGCAGTCAGGATAGGACAGGATAGCTGAGTGGACTACTGGGAGCAAAACCACAAGTATTTGTAACTCAATTACTCTGCAATGCCAAATAAATGTTTCAGTGAGTTTCACTATTGTTGCATTTTGGGAGTGCCAGTGTGTGACCATGAGAAGCTTAAAACTAAAATGACTTATGCTAGCTGGAACAATGTAGCAGCTGATTTCTGAGTAAGATTTTGTGTAACCTGAGATTGTGCTTGCTAATGATCAACTATGTTGTAATGCAGCATATGACCTGCTCATGTTGTGACCACTCAACAAAGTTGTTATGGTAGCCGGTAAACAGGTCTGATTTAGGAACAGTCATCGTCGTATATTAATGCCACACTCAGTGCCAACTGTATTTATACATTTGTCTGGCAAATATATAGTATATGGCTGCCCAGCATAAATAGGAAATGCAGAAATATGGCCTGACAACTTTGGGTCCTTATCATGGGTGCACATGATCTTCCTCAAGTAAAACACACTGGGCTGCTTTGCAGGTTTGCTGTTGCACTCTCAGCGCAATAAAAATGAGAATGTGGGGGGACTGCTGGAGAGGCAGCAAAATTACAGTTTCACTTTTGTTATGAGTGCTGAATAGTGACCACAGTGTCAGCCAGCCATAAAGATTGGAGACAATTTGTGGCAAAAAATTCTCCTTTTACTTTAGAAATATTTTAACTTGCATATGAGGAAGAAGACACGTTACAGTCAAGGCAGATCTTGTTATATTTTGTTGCCATCAATCCAGCTTTAAACCCACATACAAACATTGGTCACCTCAGATATTCAACAATAGTCTGGGAACTTCCTCCTGGCAGCTTGATCTAATCACTTCCTTGTTACTGTTAACTACATACCAGAGCCTAGCATCTACATCTACATGCGAAACGACCTCAACTGTTAATAACAACTGTATTTTCATACTATATGATCATGACCCTTTGGTCTTCTGCATAAATGTGCTACTCTGCCATTATTCTTGGTTGGCTTACTTTCTCAGACTCACTCTGTGTGCCTGTATGCTGGCATCCCATTAAACACACCACTACAGCAAACCTCTGAACAGGACTTTGGAGGATTTCTTCAACACATGCACATGAATGAGTTGGGAAATGTGGAAAAATCATGTATTATTACAATGAAGTGGAAGGGCGTGTATAGTGCAACAAAGGCATAAAACAGACATTGCAGTCATCAGTTGTTGTGCACTTTAAAAAAAAAAAAAGACAATTCATTCTGCTTGTTTGATTTGCATCACAAGCACATGACAATGGATGGTCCACTTGTGGGTCAGAACAGATGAGACACAGGGTGTGATCTGCACATGCATTCAGTTTTTCCCACATTACCTTCAGGGCCTTAAAAACTGACACTTGCTTCAACACATCATAGTTGAAATCTGACAGGTTGTTCTTTAAGCCACAAGGAGATTTGGGGAGAAAAATCACACCCTTGGTTAGTAGGAGAGGAGTGATTCAGTATGGTTAAGAGGCACCAGGAAAACCTAGAAAAATATGATGTAATATATACTGAAACATGAATGACATGGGAAATAAATAAAATGTACTGTGAGGGCTAAACACAGGTCAGAATACTGAGGGTACTTCAGGTCCTGGTGTTCTAATTTGAGAGAAAGTGATTTTTATAATAAGGTCCTCTTTAGGCAGACAAAGGTCATTATGAGCTCTTTGCATTGTAGATGTTTTATATTTTTGTCTTGAACTATGCACCTGATGTTTCAGAATATGTATGTGACTAACACGCAGACACAGCTGCTGCTTGCGTGGTCGAGTTCTCTGTTTCATGTTAATGGTTACTGGACACCGAGTAACTGTTATTAGACATTACAATAAAACCGTGCAGCTCACATCACCACACCATCAGGATGCAAAGTAGAAGTGGACTCACAAATACTGTTCTATAGTCTGAAGCACTGCTCTCACAAAAGACTAGGCCAGATGCTCTCCTCTCACTTAAATTTCCACAGCCTAAGCTGCCCATAAAGACGCTCTTGGGTTAAGAAGACAGAGAATAAAGAGCAGAACATGGAGTTATGAGGACAGAGTTGGCTATAAAGCACCATGCTGTAATAGATGGCAAACTCCGATTCAGATAACTCTGGGATTCTATGCTCTTTATAAGATGCAGGTATGTTTTATGACCTCTGATGCAATGAGACCTTCTCAAACCTCGAGAGATAAACTTAAAAATTCACAAACATTTTTTCAAGGCTTCAGAGACTTAGAAGTTTTAAAGGTTCAATATTTTCTTCTGACAACAGCTATAAAAATTTTGATGAAGACAAGAATCCCCGAGGTCTAATGATCTGATTTATATAACTTGCTGAAGCATATTTACTGTAGCCATTTTGAGTTGTAGGCTCCATCCATACCTGTCGCTGTTTTTATGGTTAAGTGTGGAGTAGCTAGAATAATGAGGAGAACAATAAAACATCACAATCTGGGTGGTAGGTTCATCTGGAGGAAAGAGT